GAATACTCTTGCGACCCATTTTTTGCTCTCCATTAGTTTAAAGGGTAATCCAGACGTGGACCCCTTGTTCACGGTGCCTAGAGAGATATCAGCTATGCCTCACTGACGATGCCTAACAAGGCTGAAACGATCGTCTGGGGTTGCTGTATCTCTCGTGCAGAGAGAACTTGCTGGCATTTCGGGTCTTGACTGCCCGTATGGGTGGGACCAGTCTGATATGCTTCAGATATGTTCTCTCTGTAATGGCACAAGTTGAGCTAAAACCAGCATGAGTTCTGAGCGGGGACCCACCGAAGGGCAGGCTATTTTAGCTGCTGTCCGCTCTCAGAATACTCTTGCGACCCATTGTTTGCTCTCCATTAGTCTAAAGGGTAATCCAGACGTGGACCCCTTGCTCACGGTGCCTAGAGAGATATCAGCTATGCCTCACTGACGATGCCTAACAAGGCTGAAACGATCGTCTGGGGTTGCTGTATCTCTCGTGCAGAGAGAACTTGCTGGCATTTCGGTTCTGGACTGCCCGTATGGGTGGGACCAGTCTGATATGCTTCAGATATGTTCTCTCTGTAATGGCACAAGTTGAGCTAAAACCAGCATGAGTTCTGAGCGGGGACCCACCGAAGGGCAGGCTATTTTAGCTGCTGTCCGCTCTCAGAATACTCTTGCGACCCATTGTTTGCTCTCCATTAGTCTAAAGGGTAATCCAGACGTGGACCCCTTGCTCACGGTGCCTAGAGAGATATCAGCTATGCCTCACTGACGATGCCTAACAAGGCTGAAACGATCGTCTGGGGTTGCTGTATCTCTCGTGCAGAGAGAACTTGCTGGCATTTCGGATCTGGACTGCCCGTATGGGTGGGACCAGTCTGATATGCTTCAGATATGTTCTCTGTAATGGCACAAGATGAGCAAAAATCAGCTTGAGAACTGAGCGGGGACCGACCGAAGGGCAGGCTATTTCAGCTGCTGCCCGTTCTCAGAATACTCTTGCGACCCATTGTTTGCTCTCCATAGGTCCCTTAAATTGCAATCAATAAAATTACTGAATTATGTAAAACTATTACATAAATACGCACGTAGAATTTAAATATATATGCATATTTATATATTTGAAGTCTACGTGTATATTTATATAATTGTTTATGTAATTTTGTATATGGACATATGTATATTTCTTATTATTTTTATTTATTTTTATATACATAGATATATATATACAAATTCATTCTAAGTGTATTTTGATATAAATATATATATATATATATATTAATTTTAAAATACAGTTAGAATAAAATTTCATATAGATATAATTTTTTTTTATTTTTTTATTATTATTTTAAAATTTTTTTATTTAATTTAAATTACTTATTATTTATATTTTATAATAATATATATATACAATATATATAGTTATATATATTATATATATACGTGCGTAATTTAATTATAAGTGTATTTTTATATTAATATAAGTACATATTAATATAAAAATACACTTAGTATGACATTATATATATGATATATAGACATATTATATAGATATAATATATGTCTATATATCATATATACACATATATAATAATAATTTTTTTTTTATTAACATTAACTTTATTTTTTTAAATGATTTTACACTAGCAGGGAGACTGCCTGTCAGCACAGGCAGTCCCCCTGCAGGCAGCACTATGGACACCTATTGTGACCATGTGATCGCTGTGTTAAGCGATCACATGGCCACAGGGGTCCTAAATCAGTGTGGGGAGACTGTCTGGGCTGCAGGCAGTCTCCCCAAAACCGGAGCAACGCTGATCGCCGCCGGGGGAACGACGGCGATCAGGTAAGTACCCCCAGACCGTTAGGACGGTTCAGGACCGTCATCGGTCCTCAAGGCAAAAATGCCGATGACGGTCCTGAACCGTCCTCGGTCGCTAAGGGGTTAATAAAAACATGGCAACATTTCATTCATTGTGTGTTATTAGTTTAAGCAGACTGTGATTGTCTATTGTTGTGACTTAGATGATGATCAGATCACATTTTTATGACCAATTTGTGCAGAAATCCATATCACTCCAAAGGGTTCACATATTTTTTCTTGCAACTGTGTATATATATATATATATATATATATTTCCAAAACAATATTAAAAGGCAAATGGATAGAGGTGACATGGCAAAAATTATGCAGTGTAGTAATGCATGAAAATTGGATCCAAAGGACACAAAAAAGCTCATCACTGGCATGATCAAACCTTAGTATAATCAGTCTCTCAGCAGACGTGTTTTGACTTTAATGAGGTCTTCCTCTAAGTGCTAGTGTCTTGTCCCTGGATCTACAGATTTTATAGGTACTTGGCGGTCTCCCTCCTGACGTTCCCTTCTGGGTATGTGCTTCAGACGGTCTAACGATGACAGTGAGCACTGAGGATTTATTTTTTTTGTTTCATATTTTAACTTTGTGTCATTCATTAGGTTAGAACGAATTTTGTTTACTAAATGGCATAAGTTTGTGCACATGGTTGTACACTACTTGAGTTTAACAACTGTGCAATGACGTGCAAAAATTCTTGAAAATTAATAGAAGAGAGTAAAATTATCAAATAGATGCACAAAACACAGAAGGTGGCTATTAGAATTGCTGTTTATACATGCTTTTGTTTAATCTGAAGAATGTGCTATTTAAATTACATTGAATAAACATTGAGTTTTTAACATTAATGACTTAAGGATTTGTTGTCATTATACTATCACACAGTGAACCTGCTTTTTGCTCAACTTCACTACAGCAAGACCTGTGGTATTTGTAAGCAGCATGAAGTCAAACTAAACTAATTGCACATAGAAGGCTTATCAATAAACTGCAATCTTTAAGTTTGGATTCAAATATTGTAGAATGGGTAAGGCAGTGGCTGAGTGACATGCAACAGAGGGTTGTAGTTAATGGAATATATTTGAAGCTTGGACTTGTCACCAGTGGGGTAACTCGGGGATCTGCACTTGGACCCATTCTCTTTAATATTTTTATTAGTGATATTGCAGAAGGTCTTGATGGTAAGGTATGTCTTTTTGTTGATGATACTAAGATATGTAACAGGGTTGATGTTCCAGGAGGGATAAGCCAAATGGCAAATGATTTAGGTAAACTAGAAAAATGGTCAGAATTGTGGCAACTGACATTTAATGTGGATAAGTGCAAGATAATGCATCTTGGACGTAAAACCCAAGGGCAGAGTACAGAATATTTGATAGAGTCCTAACCTCAACATCTGAGGAAAGGGATTTAGGGGTGATTATTTCTGATGACTTAAAAGGTAGGCAGACAATGTAATAGAGCAGCAGGAAATGCTAGCAGAATGCTTGGTTGTATAGGGAGAGGTATTAGCAGTAGAAAGAGGGAAGTGCTCATGCCATTGTACAGAACACTGGTGAGACCTCACTTGGAGTATTGTACACAGTACTGGAGACCGTATCTTCAGAAGGATATTGATACCTTAGAGAGGGTTCAGAGAAGGGCTACTAAACTGGTTCATGGATTGCGGGATAAAACTTACCAGGAAAGGTTAAAGGATCTTAACATGTATAGCTTGGAGGAAAGACGAGACAGGGGGGATATGATAGAAACATTTAAATATATAAAGGGAATCAACACAGTAAAGGAGGAGACTATATTTAAAAGAAGAAAAACTACCACAACAAGAGGACATAGTCTTAAATTAGAGGGACAAAGGTTTAAAAATAATATCAGGAAGTATTACTTTACTGAGAGGGTAGTGGATGCATGGAATAGCCTTCCAGCTGAAGTGGTAGAGGTTAACACAGTAAAGGAGTTTAAGCATGCATGGGATAGGCATAAGGCTATCCTAACTATAAGATAAGGCTAGGGACTAATGAAAGTTTTTAGAAAATTGGGCAGACTAGATAGACCGAATGGTTCTTATCTGCCGTCACATTCTATGTTTCTAATTTAAAACCCTTAATGTCCATTTAGGAACAATCGGCTTCATTTCAACAAAAAGAGCATTAATACAGAAAATTTCATCTAAAATACTTTGGAATTGTTTAAATCAGAATCTTCTTAACGTAAAAAGGTAGACTTTAACAAAAATTTGTATCAATATGTAAATGTTGTTGTTTAATATAGTTTTAGTGTAATTATTATTTTAATTATTATGTAAATATGTTAATTACATAGTGTTATCTGTATAACTATATTCACATGCACTGGTATAAATATAAAATCACTGTAGCTTAACGAATGACAGAAAGTGAAAATATGAAAATATATTTATTGCTATACAGTGACATAATACAATCAAATTTAATGTATTCTGAAAATAAAGACCCCTAAGCACTTTGTGCTTCCCTATTGCCTGCTAATATCGAGTTGTCTGTTCAAAGCAAGACTCTGCCTCACAGTCTGATATCTCTTGTGGTTAACAGACTCTCCTAGATAAGCCAAGTCAAGCAGACTTTTATCTTCAGCTGTCAGAGCAGCAGGAGCAGGAAAACATGGTGGGTGGCTTCTAAAACCAGAATTCTAATGTATCCCACAAGCAAGAAGCTGCTGAGCATTTTCAACTAGCACAAGAATGAGATACATTCTTGATGTCAGAATGTGACAACCAAAATGTCCTTAGGACCCACAAAGCACTACATTCCTTTAAGTTGTCTGCAGATCTGATAAAATACATACATATCAAATTGTGTCATATTTGAAATAATACCTATGCTTGTTCTTTTTTTAACATGTTTTATTTTTCATAAATTAGAACTAGAATGGATGTTTTTGCTCACATTTTGTTATTTTTATAAGGATAGGTTTTAGTATTTCATGACTTCGGACTATAAAAACATTGCTAAGAATGCCACAGTGGCTAACAACTAGT